TTTTTTCGCTCCCTAATGACTAGAAATGTGTAAGCTCCCCATACGAAAAAAAGCACATCTCAATATGATGCCTGTGATTAATGGTGATACGGGTGATGATCTGGCTTGAGGAAAATAAAGAAATAGAACCTGTTAAACCTTAGATTTATGAAGTACTCAGATCCCTTGTTTACGCCTAAGCAACTTGACAGATACCCTGCTGTATATATGGGCTATGTCATAGATCTCTGTCTAATGAGCATTCAAGGGAACCACTAATCTAAGCCTGGGAATGTCTACAAAGGCTGATTCTCACCGCTCTGAGAAATGTTCAGGGACCTTGGGGTCAAATATCATACTGAGATGAAATAAAATTGTCGTCATTCTGTTTTCTGCAGTAGCTGTATTCTGGCTCTTCATAAGAAGGCTGTCATTTATGACATTGGCCAGAATGCCTGAGTTTGTGTAGCACATGGTGGGGCTACATGCAGTAGGTAGTCAATATGTTGTCATTTGCTGTTGTAGTTCTCTTTTGAGTGGAAGGAAAGAAATTGTTTTGAAATTGATGGCATGTGTGGGAGCTCCTGGCATAATCTACCTTCTGAAAGTTTTCCTGACAAGTTGCAACTGTTTAATTTTGTTCACTAAAGGCTTCTGACAAGTTGCCATGATGAGGTAGACGTAATCTAACATTATGTTTGTATAACATGTTGCTTTATAGTTTAAATACATATTATTTTATTTGATCTAATTCTGAAAACAATCCTATGAAAGAGTTGTTATTAACTCCATCTTATAGATGAGAAAATCAGGGAGATGAAAGGGTTAACCCAAGCATCAAATAAGGACTTTTTTTTTTTTTTTTAAACTTATCTTGTGCTCTTTCTGCCTCACTGCTATTAGGAACTGTAAAGTTACCCATAATTCTCTTGTGCTTTCAACACTCCCTGATCACAACCCCGTTGAGGGGTGGAATAGACCTTGGACTCTTGGTTTGAGATTTTTGCTACCTATATTGACTCCGTCTTCCTCTTTCCTTCTGGGCTTATTTCTGCATTTTGGATCTACTGAACTCATTCCCCTGCTACATGGTCCCATTCTTCAGTCAGAGCCCTGGTCTTTACTCAATCCCAAGGGTCTATCTGGAAATTTGATTCTAGATTCCAGCGGTATGACCTGTTCTTTCCCTGCTATTTTCTCACTATTCTGGGCCCGATAGACACCTAGTTCATGTAGCCAATTACTGGGAGCACAGCCATTGGTGTTTACAAACTTCGGACTTTGTGCTTAGCTGATAAGTACAAAGAGCTATCGCTCTCTCTAAAATGGTTCTTCCCATTTCAAGAAAACCCAGGAATGTCGAGCATAAATGTTATCAGTTAGAAGCCATTATGTCCTGTCCGAAAAGCTCAGTCTATCCACTGTCTCCAGCTGTCCTGGCAGTCAGAACACGTACAGCAAATGCCTTCCCTTCCCAGACTCAGGGACAGGGGAATCTGCATGGCAGATCCACAGATGGCAAGGGAGATCCAGTGATGTGATTTTGGGGAAACTGATTTGTAAGCATTCCAGTGAGAATGGCTTCCCTTCTGAATGGCTATTTTGGAACCTGTTTCTGTGAAACAAGAATGTGTTCCATTAAATGTCATCCTGATTCACAGAGTGATCTCTAGTCCCCCAGCCAAACTACTTAGAAGAAAACGAGGCGACTAAGTGGCTTCTAGAAAGGAGACAGGTTTGAGCCTAGACTTTGCTATTTTTCCACGTGTAAAAAGAAATCTAAAAGAAGGTCTATTGGTGACTTTACAATTAAATTTTGATTTTTCTTGGTGAAAAACAAAAGCATATCTCCTGTTGATATACTATCAAGAAATGTTAACAATGTACCCACACAGCAATGCAGACTGAAGAAACATGGATGCCCTCCCCTTCTTAGAGATCTCTCTATTTGTAAGAGCCTGAGAACCTGCCAGATGTCTGGGGGCGGGGTGGGGCAGAGAATTAGATACTCTCCTGGCCACTTACCCTGTCTGAGCAGGAACATTCTGGGAATATAGAGACCTGGTTCTAGTGCTGGCTTTCTAAAAGTGGGTGAGTCCCCAATTCTTTTGGAACCTTGATGTCCTCATCTGTAAAATGACAGGTGAGGGAAATTGGAACAGAAGATATTTATGGCTTCTTCCTGCTCTAAACTTTGACAGTTTTCTGTGTTTCCTTCCCTCCTTTCCAGGAAAGCATAACTTTCTGTATTCAGAGGTCAACGCTCTTATCTCTCACCCCTCTCTGTCAAGGGAGTTGGGTAGTTTCTCTCCACCAAAGCACCCGCTAAGTAAACACATGGTTGGCCAGATCCACCTGGCATCAGATAATTTCAGATATAAAAATGTAGCTTCTCTGGGTCCTAAAAAGAGAGCTATTAAGACCAACCGTATAGCTTTAATAAACTGCTTTGTGTTTGGTACCCTCAAAAAAAAAAAAAAAAAAAAAAAAAGCCCAACCATCCAGCTTGAGAAGGACTCACTCAGGATGCTACAGATCCCATTCTAACTAGATTTGCTGAATATTTAATTGAATTATTTCACTTATTATGGATGTCTGACATTTCACCTCTAAGTGAACTGTAGAAGATTGAGTGGAGTACAAGTTTGTTCTTTCTCATCTCTAAGGAATTATTGTCTGGCTTTCAGCCAAGAGAGGCTGACCACACTTATTTCACCCTCCCTGCTGCTTGTTTGGATGACTCCTTCATTGTCCCCAGTGATCTCCTGGAATGAACCAGCTCTGTGGGGTCTCTGCTCCCATCAAGCAAGTGGCAGGGACTTGCAGACTCCTGCTGGCAGATAAGATTGCCACCATGGTCTCTAGGGCTCCTGGTTCTTGTAAGCTATCCACGTCTATCTCCCCTTCCACCTACTTTGCTCCTTCTCCTGCTCTCTGCACACTGGGTGCACCAGCCCATCCCCCAGTGCTTCTGCAGAGCCTCCTCGCAACTCTCTCTCCTTTCTTCACTCCCTCCTTACCTCCCTTCCTTGCTCCCTTCCTCTTTCCATCCCTCTCTCACTAGCCCCCCCACTTTTCCTATCCCACCCCTTCCTCTGTCTTTCACCGCTCACAGCCACACCCAGATAGCAAGACTGCAGACACGTCCTCTGGAGTAGACTTCATCATTGTTGGTGTGTGTGCAATGACGGAGTTTTTCTCCCCCTTTGGAAAAGAAAAAGCTGATTTCAGAAAGACCAGCACAGCAGGGGTACTTTTCTCTTTGGCACAATTCTGATGACAAGATCAAAGCCAGCCAAGTGACTCCTTTAGTCAAGAGTCGGTACAAGAAACAGAGGGCACACTTGAAGGAGTAATTGAAGGGCAGTTAGTAACTAGCCTATTTGTAAAGGAGTGAGCAGTGCCCAGAATGCTAATGAAGGATGCTGACACCGAGGAACTAGCAGCAGTGGGAAGACATTACCACCTTCCCTCCCAGGGGCAAAGTGGAGACAAGAACTGAAACCACAGGTGGGGCCACCTGACGGGAGCTGTGGCTGTAGGGAGGCAGTAGGGAAGTAAATACCCTCAACTCCCTCTGCTTCTACCTCTGACAGCCTGCTGGCAGTTCTCCCTTCATGGCTGAACCCAACAGGAAGCCAGAAGGCAAGGAGGTCCAGAGACGCATCTTGGAATTTGGCTTCCTGGGGGTGGAAGAGGATGGAAAATAGGCCTGGGGGTGCAAACAGGGACCATCTTGTATAGTCACTTTTGTTTTTAAAATTTTGCTTCTCATTTCATTTACTTAGATATTTGATACTTTGCTGTATCCAACATTTCTGAAAACCAATCAATAGGAAGTCTAAAGAGGACCTTCTCTTTCTTTTTTTTTTTTAAACTTTTTTCTTTTTTTTTTAATAGATTTTATTTATTTATTTGAGAGAGACAGAGAGAAAGGAGAGCACAGAGGGAGAGTGAGACGGAGAAGCAGACTCCCCACTGAGCAGAGAGCCTGACGTGGGACTCAATCCCAGGATCCTGAGATCATGACCTAAGCTGAAGGCAGACATTTAACCGACTCAGCCACCCAGGTGCCCTCTATTTTTTTTTTTTTTTTTAATCTGGCATGTCTTCTGCAAAATCATTTATTCAATAGTCTTATATTTAAAGAGCACTTTTCTGGAGAAACCGAGAAAAGAGAAGTATATATCTATTACCAAGGTTTTAAACAAATTTCTACCCTGTGATCCAGCAATTGCACTACTAGGTATTTACCCAAAGGATACAAAAATGCAAATTTGAAGGGGTGCATGCACCCTGATATTTATAGTAGCATTATCAACAATAGCCAAACCATGGAGAGAGCCCAAATGTCCATCGACTGATGAATGGATAAAAAAGATGTGGTATACACACACACACACACACACATTTACACACAGTGGAATATTAAGCCATCAAAAAGAATGAAATCTTGCCATTTGCAATGACATGGATGGAGCTAGAGTGTATTATGCTAAGTGAAATAAGTCAGTCAGAGAAAGACAAACACCATATGATCTCACTCATATGTGGAGTTTAAAAAAGAAAACAGGTGAGCAAATGGGAAGGGGGAAAAGAAAAAAAAGGAGAGAGGGAAACAAGCCATAAACGACTCTTAAGGACAGAAAACAAACGGAAGGCTGATGGAGGGATGTGGGTGGGGGATGGGCTAGAGGGGTGATGGGGATTAAGGAGGGCACTTGTGATGAGCACTGGGTGTTGTAAGCAAGTGATGAATCACTGAATTCTACTCCAGAAACCAGTATTGCACAGTATGGTAAATAAAAAAATTTAAATAAAATAAAAAATAAATTTCTACCTGTGCACTGAGAACACTATTAACAATGATTTACTATGCCTACTACACTGGTTGATTGGAATTAGGTTTTATAAAATGCCTTGAGCTTCTTGGAGAAATTTCTTCTTTAATGCAAAGTCCTATGTGTGCAATGAAATAATAACATGCAGTATCTATAATTTCAGAGCATATGCTTATTGTTACAATTATACATCTCAGACATTTCTATCCCGGGATTCTCTCTGGCCAGAAGGGTGCAAAATCGTTCAGCTGAATAAGTATCAGGAATGACTACCCATCATCAAGGTAAAACAGCCTTGCCTGTGGGGTATTTCTCCCAAATCTTTTCTCTCCTGCTTTCTCCGTTGCTCTCCACACCTCCTGCCTCCCTCTGCTATTCCTCTCCTTTCTAGATAGAAAGACAAACTTTTGATAACAAGAGCATTAGTGTACAAATTCAAGCATCCTAGATATATGAATCTTAATACTTTTTGAACTAGTTTAAATAAATAAATTTCATTATAACTGGAATAAATTAATTTTCAACTGGTATAGATTAATTTTCATATTGGTGATTTTGATGACTTCATATCGTTAGATTTGTTCAATTTGTTTATAAGTTTGTCATGGTTTTTCTTGTTGTGTTGTGTTGTTGTTTGACTTTGCTTCCCTCACTCTTCCTTTTTCTTGATGACCTTCTTTATTTGCCTGGCGGTTTCATGTTGGCTTGTGGTTTGTCCCCAGTCCTCTCACTTTTAGTGTAAAACCACTTCTAGTTAAAATGGCATTTTGAGGATCTTTTTTTTTCCCCCAGTTTTTTTTTTATTATTATGTTATGTTAATCACCATACATTACATCATTAGTTTTTGATGTAGTGTTCCAGGATTATTTGTGTATAACACCCAGTGCTCCATGCAGAACGTGCCCTCTTTAATACCCATCACCAGGACAACCCATCCTCCCACCTCCTCCCCTCTAGAACCCTCAGTTTGTTTTTCAGAGTCCATAGTCTCTCATGGTTCGTCTCCCCCTCTGATTTCCACCCTTCATTCTTCCCTTCCTGCTATCTTCTTCTTCTTCTTCTTTTTTTTTTTTTAACATATATTGTATTATTTGTTTCAGAGGTACAGATCTGTGATTCAACAGTCTTGCATAATTCACAGCACTCAACATAGCACATACCCTCCCCAATGTCTGTCACCCAGCCACACCATCCCTCCCAACCCCTGCCACTCCAGCAACCCTGTTTGTTTCCTGAGATTAAGAATTCTTCATATCATGAGGTCATATGATACATGTCTTTCTCTGATTGACTTATTTCACTCAGCATAATACACTCTAGTTCTATCCACGTCATTGCAAATGGCAAGATTTCATTCCTTTTGATGGCTGCATACTATTCCATTGTATATATATATATACCACTTCTTCTTTATCCATTTATCTGTCGATGGACATCTTGGCTCTTTCCACAGTTTGGCTATTGTGGACACTGCTGCTATAAACATCGGGGTGCATGTACCCCTTCGGATCCCTACATTTGTATCTTTGGGGTAAATACCCAGTAGTGCAATTGCTGGATTGTATGGTAGCTCTATTTTCAACTTTTTGAGGAACTTCCATACTGTTTTCCAGAGTGGCTGCACCAGCTTGCATTCCCACCAACAGTATAGGAGGGTTCCCCTTTCTCCTCCAACATCTATCATTTCCCGACTTGTTAATTTTAGCCATTCTGACTGGTGTGAGGTGATATCTCATTGAGGTTTTGATCTGGATTTCCCTGATGCCGAGCGATGTTGAGCACTTTTTCATGTATCTTTTGGCCATTTGGATGTCTTCTTTGGAAAAATATCTGTTCATATCTTCTGCCCATTTCTTGATTGGATCATTTGTTCTTTGGGTGTTGAGTTTAAGCAGTTCTTTATAACTTTTGGATACTAGACCTTTATCTGATATGTCATTTGCAAATATCTTCTCCCATTCTGTCCATTGTCTTTTGGTTTTGTGGACTGTTTCTTTTGCTGTGCAAAAGCTTTTTATCTTGATGAATTCCCAATAGTTCATTTTTGCCCTTGCTTCCCTTGCCTTTGACGATGTTTCTAGGAAGAAGTTTCTGTGGCTGAGGTCGAAGAGATTGTTGCCTGTGTTCTCCTTTAGGATTTTGATGGACTCCTGTCTCACATTGAGGTCTTTCAACCATTTGGAGTCAATTTTTGTGTGTGGTGTAAGGAAATGGTCCAGTCTCATTCTGCATGTGGCTATCCAATTTTCCCAACACCATTTGTTGAAGAGACTGTCTTTTTTCCATTGGACATTCTTTCCTGCTTTGTTGAAGATTAATTGACCATAGAGTTGAAGGTCCATTTCTGGGTTCTCTATTCTGTTCCATTGATCTATGTGTCTGTTTTTGTGCCAGTACCATACTGTCTTAATGATGACAGCTTTGTAATAGAGCTTGAAGTCCGGAATTGTGATGCTGCCAGCTTTGCTTTTCTTTTTCAACATTCCTCTGGCTATTCGGGGTCTTTTCTGGTTCCACACAAATTTTAGGATTATTTGTTCAATTTCTTTGAAAAAAGTAATGGTATTTTGATGGGGATTGCATTCAATGTGTAGATTGCTCTAGGTAGCATTGACATCTTCACGATATTTGTTCTTCCAATCCTTAAGCATGGAACGTTTTTCCACTTCTTTGTGTCTTCCTCAATTTCTTTCATGAGTATTATATAGTTTTCTGAGTACAGATTCTTTGCCTCTTCGGTTAGATTTATTGCTAGGTATCCTATGGGTTTTGGGTGCAATTGTAAATGGGATCGACTCCTTAATCTCTCTTTCTTCTGTCTTGTTGGTGTATAGGAATGCCACTGATTTCTGTGCATTGATTTTATATCCTGCCACTTTACTGTATTCCTGTATGAGTTCTAGCAGTTTTGAGGTGGAGTCTTTTGGGTTTTCCACATGAAGTATCATATCATCTGCAAAGAGTGAGAGTTTGACTTCTTCTTTGCTGATTTGGATGCCTTTTATTTCTTTTTGTTGTCTGATTGCTGTGGCTAGGACTTCTAATACTATGTTGAATAGCAGTGGTGATAGTGGACATCCCTGCCGCATTCCTGACCTTAGGGGGAACGCCTTCAGTTTTCCCCATTGAGAATGATATTCGCTGTGGGTTTTTCATAGATGGCTTTTATGATAATGAGGTATGTACCCTATATCCTTATACTCGGAAGAGTTTTGATCAAGAAACGATGCTGTACTTTGTCAAAAGCTTTTTCTGCATCTACTGAGAGGATCATATGGTTCTTGTTCTTTCTTTTATTAATGTATTGTATCACATTGATTGATTTGTGGATGTTGAACCAACCTTGCAGCCCAGGGATAAATCCCACTTGGTCGTGGTGAATAATCCTTCTAATGTACTGTTGGATCCTACTGGCTAGTATTTTGGTGAGAATTTTTGCATCCGTGTTCATCAAGGATATTGGTCTATAATTCTCCTTTTTGATGGAGTCTTTGTCTGGTTTGGGGATCAAGGTAACAGTGATCTCATAAAACAAGTTTGGAAGTTTCCTTCCATTTCTATTTTTTGGAATAGTTTCAGAAGAATAGGTATTAATTCTTCTTGAAATGTTTGGTAGAATTCCCCTGGGAAGCCATCTGGCCCTGGGCTTTTGTTTTTTGGGAGATTTTTGATGACTGCTTCAATTTCCTTAGTGGTTATAGGTCTGTTCAGGTTTTCTATTCCTTCCTGGCTCAGTTTTGGTAGTTGATACATCTCTAGGAATGCATCTATTTCTTCCAGATTATCTAATTTGCTGCCATAGAGTTGCTCATCATATGTTCTTATAATTGTTTGTATTTCTTTGGTGTTGGTTGTGATCTCTCCTCTTTCATTCATGATTTTGTTGATTTGGGTCATTTCTCTTTTCTTTTTGATAAGTCTGGCCAGGGGTTTATCAATCTTATTAATTCTTTCAAAGAACCAACTCCTAGTTTCATTGATCTGTTCTACCGTTCTTTTGGTTTCTATTTCATTGATTTCTGCTCTGATCTTTATTAATCTCTTCTCCTGCTGGGTTTAGGCTGTATTTGCTGTTCTTTCTCCAGCTCCTTTAGGTGTAGGGTAAAGTTGTGTATTTGAGACCTTTCTTGTTTCTTGAGAAAGGCTTGTATTGCTATATACTTTCCTCTTAGGACTGCCTTTGCTTCATCCCAAAGATTTTGAACAGTTGTGTTTTCATTTTCATTGGTTTCCATGGATTTTTAAAATTCTTCTTTAATTTCCTGGTTGACCCATTCATTCTTTAGTAGGATGCTCTTTAGTCTCCATGTATTTGAGTTGTTTCCGACTTTCCTCTTGTGATTGAGTTCTAGTTTCAAAGCATTGTGGTCTGAAAATAGGCAGGGAATGATCCCAATCTTTTGGTACTGGTTGAGACCTGATTTGTGACCTAGGATGTGATCTATTCTGGAGAATGTTCCATGGGCCCTAGAGAGGAATGTGTATTCCATTGCTTTGGGATGGAATGTTCTGAATATATCTGTGAAGTCCATTTGGTCCAGTGTGTCACTTAAAGTCTTTATTTCCTTGTTGATCATTTGCTTAGATGATCTGTCCATTTTAGTGAGGGGGGGTGTTAAATTCCCCCACTATTCTCGTATTGTTGTTGATGTGTTTCTTTGCTTTTGTTTTTAATTGGCTTATATAATTGGTTGCTCCCATGTTAGGGGCATAGATATTTACAATTGTTAGATCTTCTTGTTGGATAGATCCTTTAAGTAGGATATAGTGTCCTTCCTCATCTCTTATTACAGTCTTTGGTTTAAAATCTAATTTGTCTGATATAAGGATTGCCACCCCAGCTTTCTTTTGGTGTCCATTAGCATGGTAAATGGTTTTCCACCCCTTCACTTTCAATCTGGGGGTGTCTTTGGGTCTAAAATTAGTCTCTTGCAGACAGCATATCGATGGTTTTTTAATCCAATCTTGTTTTTTAATCCAATCTGATAGCCCGTGTCTTTTGATTGGGGCAGTTAGCCCATTTACCATTCAGGGTAACTATTGAAAGATATGAATTTAGTGCCATTGTATTGCCTGTAAGGTGACTGTTACTGTATATTGTCTGTGTTCCTTTCTGGTCTGTGTTGCTTTTAGGCTCTCTCTTTGCTTAGAGGACTCCTTTTGTATTTCTTGTAGGGCTGGTTTCATGTTTGCACATTCCTTTAGTTTTTGTTTGTCCTGGAAGATTTTTATCTGTCCTTCTATTTTCAATGACAGCCTAGCTGGATATAATATTCTTGGCTG